GTAAAACCCCCACCCCCCCCCCAAAAAAAAAAAAAAAAAAAGACGGAAAAAGTTGACAGCTAGACAGGTCGTTTGAGCGCGGCAAAAAAAAATTGAAATCAATATTATTTATTTTTATTTATTTGTTTATTTATTACAATTTAACGGCCTATGTAATTCTGGCCGTTGATAAGCAATGAAGAAATGCATGCATAAAATCGAGAACATGCCTTTACAAACCTCTTTACTTTTTTCCCGTCCCTGACAGTCTTGTTCTCCCAGTAAAATCCTCTGTGTGGTTATATTCTATTAGGAAACCGCGTGCGTGTCAAAAGCTCTGGGTTGGCGCCGGGGTTGGCAAAGGCCCGGCCCCCGGGCAGCGCAAAATTTGCAAATGCCCTGCAGTTGCCCTGGGTGTAGGGGCGGCGGGGGGAGGGGGCGGCTGGGAGCAGCTGGAATTGACTAACGCATTAGTCGACGATCTCCCTCATTTGCTTTATGCTAAGCGTCGAACTTCTTCTTTGGCTTTAAGCCATTTATCCAGGGGATTTCTAGTTAAAGGTATAACGGTATAAGAGTCTGTTTTCGCGGTAAGTTGGAAAGACTTCCAGCGGAAGTGCTTGAAGATAATTATGCAGATTGTAATAACGATCTCGCCCTTTTTTTGTTAAATTCTTTTTCTTGTAAATTCTTGTTGTCTTTTTTTTGCCCATTTTCTTAACTTTCTTGTTTCGTCCTAGTGTTTGTGTCCTTCGTTGATAAAAATACCACTGAACAGGTACAACGGATTTAATTAATACGCTGTTTCGTGACCTTCGACGTTTACAAGTACTTGTAAGGCTGATTTCTCAAAGTCACCGAGGAGCCTACAATTTAAAGCCTAACACCGCATGCATGCGTAAAAAGTACTGTACATGCTTTAACTATTTGTTTCTTGTCTTACTTTAGTCACAACCTATTGGACATATAGCACTAAATGGTAGATTTTGCTATTATGAAAGCAAACAAACAATGATATACCATAATAAACAGATCTTTATTTGTCACCCCAACATTTTGCATAAGCATTGTCTTCACTTTCCCTTGGGAGTTAAAAATGGCCCTAAGAGAAACTGAAAACAATGCTTATGCAAAATTCGTTTGGCAGCAAGGTCCACAAAGGCACCTTTTTCCGAAAATCATTACCAAAAATTACTCTTTTTCGTCGTCCTAACTGATTTTGCTATTAAAAATGCTAATACTGACACACTATTCTCCGTTTTCACTAATGTGAGAACGCAGAAATGAAAACGGAAACCTTTTAATACAGAAAGTCTAGAATGTGGGAAATGAAAGAAGATAAATATACAAAAAGCCTTGCCAAGAATCACGTCTAAGCAATTGTTCATATGCGAGATATTTGGAAACACGTTTTACCCAAATTTATTAAGTTTTGTATGGAGACGCCATGTTTGTGTCCCTTGCAGGGGCACAAATATGGCCGCCGGAAACCAACAGAAACATCTGTTTTTGAGTTTTCGTACTTATTCGTGAATTCTTCGCTTGAGGAACTCATAAAGATTAAAGTAATATTCATTCTAAGGCAAGGAATGTTTAGATAGCAAAATCTCCAAAAATCCGAATTGTTTTTAACCCATATAAGAGCTTTCCCGGCCGCCAGCTAAATACCGCGTCATGCAAAAGCGTGGAAATTCAATTCAAGCGTCCTGCATCGCAAAATAAAGAACCCTTTTGAACCGAAATGATTTTTTGTATAAAGGTTTTAAGGTGCTCTAGTATCACATGAAAGTAGAAACTCAGAAGAAGCGATAGTTTCATAGCTTGAATTTTGGTGACGTCATGTGAAAACCAAGAACAACAGCTGATTTTATATATGTTTTGTCATATTTTATTTGTTTACATCGGACCTGTGCACACTAGATAGGTCCAGCTGTCTGCCGCCAGATCTGGCCCCAGTCGCTCAAAACGTGGATAACGCTATTCACTGGCATGATTTCCCAACAGTTATCAAATGGACGATGATTTATCCGATGGATATGGCGTTATCCAACTTTTGAGCAACTGGGCCCGGTCAGAGTCTAACACATTTTATAAAAAAATGTTGTACACACTTATATTAATAAAGAAAATAAACATCTTTGTTGCGCGTCAAAGGTAGAAATGGGCAACTATGGCAAAGATATCAGATGTGCTAGTTCCGAGTGAAAGTCGTAGCGTTTTTCACCTGAAAGGTAACAATATTTTGTTTTTGATTTTTTTTTATTCAAGACATTCATTAGTTTAATTACAAAGAACTAATTAAAAAGAAACTAATTACGATATTCTAAACAACCGCAATAACAGACATACTTACAATTAACTACATTTCACAATTATATACATTACAGCCAAAATTGCTGAATGAGGCTTACTTTACAAAGAATTAATTAATACTGAATTATGTAGATAAAAGAGAAATTAACACTTATTTACAGTATACTCTGAAATAAAACAAAAACACAAAAAAATGTCCAAGGCCCTGTATACATGGAGTTGGGGGACCCCAGGTAGGTGAGGTAACATGTGGCGGGTTACCCTACCTAACATGTAAACGTGATCACATTAAAATGAGAGATTGTATGGACAGGCGGGTTACCCCACCTATAAGCGGGTTACCTCACCTACCTGGGGTCCCCCACCTCCATGTAAACAAGCCCTTACATGCAATCTTACAACCCCGCCATCCCGGGGTGCACTTTCTTAAGATTATTGAATGGTCGCAAAGTACTTAAAGAAAATGCTGGCAAACCACGTGTTTTGGCGATTAATGCACTTCTTCACTCACTTGTTGCTCTTGCTGCAACCTTCAGTGCAATGGCTTTCTATTGTTAACTTTAATAATAATGAAAAGCCACCGCCAAAGTGAATTTTGCGCGAATTTGATGTATCACGAATCCGACCCTGGCCAGGCGGGTTACCCCACCTTGAAACGTTTACATGGCAAAATTTGAACGCGGCTGAGATGGTAACCCGCTCTGGTAGACCGAGCTACCCGCCTTGGCGGGTCACCCCACCTATCATGTAAACGTGATCAAATTAAAATGAGAGATTATATGGACAGGAGGATTACCCCACCTAAGCGAGTTACCTCACCTACCTGGGGTAGCCCACCTCCATGTAAACAGGGCCTAATAAAAGATTACAATTTATTTACCTACACACGAACTTAATTAAAGGGGGAAATGTCTTTTGGTCATTTTTCATAAAAGGTTTCTAATTTATTATTCTTAGTGGAAATATATTTTTCAACTTGGTATTTAATTCTTACTTTAAATTTGAAACCTTCGATGTTTGGAAGTACCTGTTTTTTTCTGCAATCCCATAAATACAATTTACCAATTAATATCAGATAATTTAACAAGGGGCATTTTGCTATCGTTATTCTAATTATAACCTCTCGTAAACACAACCTGTGAAATTCCTTTGTTATTGTTAAATAATATTGTTCAACATTTTTCCACTACATATCTGAGTGCCGACAGTAAAAGAGAAAGTGACATAACGTTTCCTGTTCAGTCTTGCAAAAAGTACATTCGTCATGCTGGAGATATCCAATTTTAAAAAGTTTTGCATTGGTGTAAAGTATTGAATTTAAAACTTTATATTGAAAGGATTTGACGTAAGGCTCCTGTGCTGTCGGATGGGGAAGATTGTAAGCAATTTTTAAGTCATTGTCAGACAACAACATTGATTACAAGTCATAAAAGACGAAAAGACAAACACCCCATTATATAACCAAGGTGGTGCTAATGTGCAATGCTCGATCGATACTTATGCATTGTTTTTAAAGTCCAAGGGTCGTTAAACATAATGTGAAAATTGGGGATTAAACAAATTAGGCGCCTGCGTTTGTTTCAGTATTAATCAATGTAGAATTAGTGATTTATTTGACGGAGTCCTTGGGAGGCTGGTCTTACATGTCTCTCTTCTCTTTTCTGTCACACAGTTGAAAGGTAGCAAATCTCCGCCTCCTGTAAATCTCTTGAATTCTGCGTTGATGTTTGGTCCTACAGTGAGTAGGGAAGAAGATAAGCGATCGTTACAAATATTATTTTCGGGAATGGCCTACTGCAAAGTGTCGGGTGCGAGGACAACAAGGTTTTAGTACAATTAGCCGCGCGTGTATAAGAAAGAGAGAGGAATTTTTCTATAGACTTGCCCGATAGTTAGATAAACCTGGAAACTTCCGCTTACCCGATGTTGGAATTCTCCTCCTAATTCTACATCAAGAACGTCGCCATCAAGCTTCTGTAATATTTTTTGCACGTTCTTTTGCAAAAGATCCACTTTTGCCTCAACTATAAATCAAAAGATTTTAAATAGAAACTTAAACACGTTATAAAACATGCTCAAGTCACAACTTCGTCTATTCAATCTAGAGTCTTCGATGGGCTAGTGTAAAAGAATTTTATTCAGTCACTGGGTGGGGGTAGGGTAGTGTGTGTAAATGAACAGTTACTTCTGGTGCTTTGTACCCTTGGAAACGGGAAACTCAACCTTTTAATTCGCTGTTCGGTGAGAACTGTAAGCAAAGCGAAGGCCGTTAACTTAGGCATAGCATTTCAAAGGAGCATCAATCTGAGCTGAAACGTTTGTTAATGTGATTGTAATCTCCAATTTTTACAACCTTTCAGTTTGATGCATGTGTGCGGATGAAGTATTTTGCTGGACAAGTATAGAATGACTAGACATTTTGAAAATAACTGCTCAGCTTCGCAACGACAAACCGTCAGTCTGAACTGAGTAGAAGTGAAAAAACTAAATTGTAGATCGACTCTTGGGTCACTTTGGTCAGGACTTAGATAGCCTATAAGGCCTTCTAACTGTAACTTAGACAAGGCCTTTTACTAATTGAACGAATGGCGCCCAAAGACAGTTTTTATTCTTCAGTTCTGAATTGGGGTCAAACAATCTTGTCGTGCCTCATGCAAGACAAACAAAGTCATTGCAAGTCATTTTAGAACTTAATATCCTTTCCTGATTTAGAGTAATTTGTTCTTACTTGAAATTGGGAAAGATGCTCCATGTTTTTTCAGGTAACGTGTCGTGATTTTAGGGAAAAGTTCTTCTTTATAAAACCTTTTATAACGTCTTCGGCGGTCCTTAGCTCTCTGAAGGCCGAAAAATAATTTGAGATTAGACAAGCCTTGAGGTACTTTTCCTAAGTTGTACTTCTAAGACGTACACGAAAGATAGAAACGGCTACCAAACTAAACAATAGGACCATTTATAGGAGGAACAATAAGACGCGTCTAACATAAGACGCGAACTGTACCATTTATACGAGCATGTCTTATCTAAGACGAAAACAGCTCGTATAAATGGTTTGCGTCTTATTTCTGTTCTTGACTCATTTTCATGTGAATGTTGCCCGTGGCAACGGCAATCCAACGTCGCGCGCCAACAATTAACGCATGCGTACTATGTGTTCGCGTCTTATTTAAGACGCGAAGGTCATTTATACGAAGTTTTTCTCGTCTTAGCTAAGACGCGTCTTATCTAAGAACAGGTGTTAAGGGCTGTTCTAAAATAAGAAGCTTCTTAGCTAAGGCGCGTCTTATCTTAGACGAAATGTGCCGTTTATACGGAAAGTTCGCGTCTTATTTAAGACGCGTCCTATGTAAGATGCGTCTTATTTTTCCTTGTATAAATGGCCCTAATGAGACATACCGCTAAAAGATCTTGAGTTAATTAATGAGTTAACAAAAGGCGGAATAGGTTAACGTCATTAAAGTCTTGAATAAAATGAAATGGATGATGTTTTGTCGGTATGGTAGGTGTGACCATTTTAACACGATTTAAGTTAATGCCCTGTGCATATTAATCTATGGAGATTACAACGGAAGGGGAGCCGTAAAGTAATACACCGAGAGAGGGGGGCAATGTCCAAATTATTCACCGCATGACATAGTTTATTTTAATTGATTTGCCGAACACATGCGTGAAAAGTCGTAAGTAGTACACTTATATGTTGACGAGGATGAAATCAACCAAAAAATTGTTGTTCTCTTCCCTCTTTTCCTAAACCTAAAATTGGTCAAACTATTAACACCAACCGTAACCACTAAAACAGCAAAAAAGCATTATCCTCTTCCTAGTAATTTTCTTCGACCGCATTTTATTATGTCTTAATAGGCGTTAATTTATTCCTCCTCTTCATGATGACATTCAATCCTCTCGCAAAAAGAGAAGCCCAACAGTTACGCCCAAAACTACCATCTCCCACTCAAAACCTTTAAAATTCAACCAGCTGATTCAATGGTCCGAGGTCTGCTTGATATGTCGCTTTGACCAAGCAACGAACAAACAAAACTGCGTTTCGTTTTTCCTTTTCCCATTTGGTAAATTTTAATGAATAGGAGACGCCAAACGACATCACGTGAGAATCGAAATCGCGCGTTTCTTTTTTTCGCATATATTTCGTGAAAGGCAATGACTCGTTGTGCAACATGCTTGAAATTGAATATGTGGACCAATAGTAAGTCATTACCTTAAGTATAATATATAGAATTAGCCAGGGCTAAAAGCGAAGCTCTGGTTAGTAATACTTATAAACAAAAAAATTAAATCGTGTAATGTTAAACGGAGACGACAATGAACATGGCTTCAAGACTAATAGATCTAATTAGTAAAAAAAACAAATTGCACGTGCAGCACACTTTTCTAAGTTCTTCTTATTAGCAAAAAGAAAATTTGCACGTGCAGCATGCTTTTTTGTCTTTCCCTTGCCGTTGTTTTGCACGACTACAACGCTGTTTTCTACTACTAAAACGTCAAACTTCCTAGTTACACATTATTTTTATGGAGGAATTGTCGTATGTGCATGTTTACCCAATATTTTGTTTCCTGTGTTCATGTTCGCGTTTTTTTTTATATTTCTCCGCCGCTCATTTTCACCTTGCTGGCCGCTAGCATTTCTCATTTTCTCACCGCTGCTTTGAATTTCCATGTTTTTCTCCCTACGAAATTCGTCTCCTTTGTTTTCATTAACTCGCTCTAGCTCTTTCTCTGTTATGCACGTTAGTGTAAACATAAAAATAACGCCGAAAAAGACACGACTTTATCGTTGGTTTTTACTGGGCTGCCCGGCAAGCCCAGTCATAAATTCCGTTTTCGGTCGTCTGTGTCGAAAAACCGTCATCCGGGGGAGGGAAAACACGAGGGTCTGGTACCGAGAAACGATGTTCTCACAAATGGTTTCATAGGATTTTCTCTTGCACGAACCCTTGCACGGATACTTTTTGTACCCCGTCTCCGCTCCCCCTGAAAAACCCACAAGGCGTTGCGAACCTGAAGAAGGCTATTTGCGTTGTTCGAAGCGATTCGATCATGGGAGTCACTCTATAATTTTTTTATTGTTCGACTTTAAGTCAGTTAGATAATGTTGGCGCTGGGAAACTCAGAGAAATGCTCGCGTTGCATTCAGACCAACACGCCGTTCACGGACTGTGAGCGTCAGGTTTGGAACGCCGTGGCCGCTTCGTGAACTCAAAGAGAGAATTATCGATCGATGTAGACTGATGACTTATACGACCTTTATTTTCGTAAAGGTGTTTTGAATACGAATGAACGCAGTCAATGTGAGGGACAAAAAGAGCATTAATATAAATGAACCATAGGGTTTTAACTAATATAAGGGTCAATTATTGTGCATTGAGATGAATCGCTTGAATAGAGAGACTTCGCTTGAAGATGTGATCAGAAGTAAACAAAGGCATAATAGTGCGTCACGTTCAGTCTTTTTAATATCCAAGGAGTCACTGTGAATAGTGTTTCCATATTGTTTAGCTGGTACAAAAACTTCGGACGAGTTATAAAGCGGCATAGTTATCTTCCATGAAGAAATGTTAGTCTTGGGTGAGACAAACAGAATTGGAGTGAATTTTTAACTCACATCGGTATCAGGTAAAAAATATGTTATCGATCGTTTCATCTATTTACATTGTTTGAAGTGCGTGCTGGTGAACGCAACATACGAGCGAGAAATCTAAACTTTTTTAGGTCTCAAAATGCAAAGGATTTTATTCCTTTAAGTTAGAGAAAAATACCATGAAGAAAATCTTAAAACTGAATATTTTTCATCTTGTGGAAAAAATAGTGCGTTTTCTTGTAGACTGTGGACCGCAAATTAGGATCGCACTTTTCACAAACATGCGAATTCTGAAGTTCAGAAGCCAACCGACGATTGCGTTTTTCGCTGCAGTCAATCATCTTAACGGACCTCTTAGGAAACAAAACTTTACTTCACGGGTTCAAAATGTCATGGTTTGTGATTTGTGGATTTCGATCCGTTTTGTGTGTTTCTCTGTTTCAAAGTTCGTTGCTTGTGATCGTAATTATGATTGACGGCAGCGATAAACACAATTGTGAAGGTGGCTTTTGAACTTTAGAGTTCGCATGTTTGTGAAAAGCGCAGTAAAGTCTCCGTGCAGTCAGTGAGGCCCCTGGATCAGGCGGGATCAATGGGCAGTTAACTGTCTGTTTTAGTATACTTCTGGTTTTCATACAATACAATATTTCTGTCTAGTGTGAATCAGCTCAGTCTGTCGCATTTTATGCTCGTAGAACGACAACAATTTTTGGAATTTCCGGTTACGTTAAATTAGTCTTATGCTGTCACGCTATATTTTGGGGCACAGAGGGATTGGGGAAGGGGTGGGTGGAAATAATGCAAATTGTTTCCTGCTTAGAATTAATGGCTAACTTGTTTATTTTCATTCATAATGGTGGAATTTAAAAGTTATTATACAGCCCCCACTTAGAAATGGTACTCTTTTTTTGGTTACGAAAGTCTTTCAAAAGGGTACAGTGTTCTGAATGAGTTTATGTTTCAGTCTCACATCAGATTCTGTCGCATGCAATGGTTGCCGACAAGGTTTTATGGTAGCCTGAGTGTGTATAGCCGCCCCCTCCCTTCAGAAAAAGTAGCCCCTTTGCAGCCCAGTTAAAAATCGCCTTTCGGCGATTCTTGTTCTTTTTAAAAGTCTGGGCGGCCATGTGATTTCGTTCCAAATAAAACCTTGAGTTGCATTTGGGTTGCTGTACCTGTTGATTGAGTTATTTTGCATTGGTATGCTTGTGGTGCAGACGGACGGTCGCTCGCTCGGTGTACGGTCACGTGACTACCAAATTTTCTCGGATGGGTAGATTACCACATTTCCTTAGCTATGGCGCTCCTCCCAAGCGCTGCGCTTCGCGCCGCGCGTGGAGCTCCGCTATTAGTAATTTACGAAAATTGTTTCTGTCTCTTTATAAGATATTCAGCCGGTCGATCGAAGGGCCGAAATCAGAGACATTTTCCTCAAACCACTGCACCGTTATTTCCTAAGGCTTGCGATCAAAAGAGAAAGTTTGAAAAAGTGATCATGAAAAAGGGAACGACACTACAGGATGACGTACATCGCATACACAGTATGTTAAAGGTCAATTATATAAAAAAGCATTATCCTCTTCCTAGTAATTTTCTTCGACCGCATTTTATTATGTCTTAATAGGCGTTAATTTATTCCTCCTCTTCATGATGACATTCAATCCTCTCGCAAAAAGAGAAGCCCAACAGTTACGCTCAAAACTACCATCTCCCACTCAAAACCTTTAAAATTCAACCAGCTGATTCAATGGTCCGAGGTCTGCTTGATATGTCGCTTTGACCAAGCAACGAACAAACAAAACTGCGTTTCGTTTTTCCTTTTCCCATTTGGTAAATTTTAATGAATAGGAGACGCCAAACGACATCACGTGAGAATCGAAATCGCGCGTTTCTTTTTTTCGCATATATTTCGTGAAAGGCAATGACTCGTTGTGCAACATGCTTGAAATTGAATATGTGGACCAATAGTAAGTCATTACCTTAAGTATAATATATAGAATTAGCCAGGGCTAAAAGCGAAGCTCTGGTTAGTAATACTTATAAACAAAAAAATTAAATCGTGTAATGTTAAACGGAGACGACAATGAACATGGCTTCAAGACTAATAGATCTAATTAGTAAAAAAAACAAATTGCACGTGCAGCACACTTTTCTAAGTTCTTCTTATTAGCAAAAAGAAAATTTGCACGTGCAGCATGCTTTTTTGTCTTTCCCTTGCCGTTGTTTTGCACGACTACAACGCTGTTTTCTACTACTAAAACGTCAAACTTCCTAGTTACACATTATTTTTATGGAGGAATTGTCGTATGTGCATGTTTACCCAATATTTTGTTTCCTGTGTTCATGTTCGCGTTTTTTTTTATATTTCTCCGCCGCTCATTTTCACCTTGCTGGCCGCTAGCATTTCTCATTTTCTCACCGCTGCTTTGAATTTCCATGTTTTTCTCCCTACGAAATTCGTCTCCTTTGTTTTCATTAACTCGCTCTAGCTCTTTCTCTGTTATGCACGTTAGTGTAAACATAAAAATAACGCCGAAAAAGACACGACTTTATCGTTGGTTTTTACTGGGCTGCCCGGCAAGCCCAGTCATAAATTCCGTTTTCGGTCGTCTGTGTCGAAAAACCGTCATCCGGGGGAGGGAAAACACGAGGGTCTGGTACCGAGAAACGATGTTCTCACAAATGGTTTCATAGGATTTTCTCTTGCACGAACCCTTGCACGGATACTTTTTGTACCCCGTCTCCGCTCCCCCTGAAAAACCCACAAGGCGTTGCGAACCTGAAGAAGGCTATTTGCGTTGTTCGAAGCGATTCGATCATGGGAGTCACTCTATAATTTTTTTATTGTTCGACTTTAAGTCAGTTAGATAATGTTGGCGCTGGGAAACTCAGAGAAATGCTCGCGTTGCATTCAGACCAACACGCCGTTCACGGACTGTGAGCGTCAGGTTTGGAACGCCGTGGCCGCTTCGTGAACTCAAAGAGAGAATTATCGATCGATGTAGACTGATGACTTATACGACCTTTATTTTCGTAAAGGTGTTTTGAATACGAATGAACGCAGTCAATGTGAGGGACAAAAAGAGCATTAATATAAATGAACCATAGGGTTTTAACTAATATAAGGGTCAATTATTGTGCATTGAGATGAATCGCTTGAATAGAGAGACTTCGCTTGAAGATGTGATCAGAAGTAAACAAAGGCATAATAGTGCGTCACGTTCAGTCTTTTTAATATCCAAGGAGTCACTGTGAATAGTGTTTCCATATTGTTTAGCTGGTACAAAAACTTCGGACGAGTTATAAAGCGGCATAGTTATCTTCCATGAAGAAATGTTAGTCTTGGGTGAGACAAACAGAATTGGAGTGAATTTTTAACTCACATCGGTATCAGGTAAAAAATATGTTATCGATCGTTTCATCTATTTACATTGTTTGAAGTGCGTGCTGGTGAACGCAACATACGAGCGAGAAATCTAAACTTTTTTAGGTCTCAAAATGCAAAGGATTTTATTCCTTTAAGTTAGAGAAAAATACCATGAAGAAAATCTTAAAACTGAATATTTTTCATCTTGTGGAAAAAATAGTGCGTTTTCTTGTAGACTGTGGACCGCAAATTAGGATCGCACTTTTCACAAACATGCGAATTCTGAAGTTCAGAAGCCAACCGACGATTGCGTTTTTCGCTGCAGTCAATCATCTTAACGGACCTCTTAGGAAACAAAACTTTACTTCACGGGTTCAAAATGTCATGGTTTGTGATTTGTGGATTTCGATCCGTTTTGTGTGTTTCTCTGTTTCAAAGTTCGTTGCTTGTGATCGTAATTATGATTGACGGCAGCGATAAACACAATTGTGAAGGTGGCTTTTGAACTTTAGAGTTCGCATGTTTGTGAAAAGCGCAGTAAAGTCTCCGTGCAGTCAGTGAGGCCCCTGGATCAGGCGGGATCAATGGGCAGTTAACTGTCTGTTTTAGTATACTTCTGGTTTTCATACAATACAATATTTCTGTCTAGTGTGAATCAGCTCAGTCTGTCGCATTTTATGCTCGTAGAACGACAACAATTTTTGGAATTTCCGGTTACGTTAAATTAGTCTTATGCTGTCACGCTATATTTTGGGGCACAGAGGGATTGGGGAAGGGGTGGGTGGAAATAATGCAAATTGTTTCCTGCTTAGAATTAATGGCTAACTTGTTTATTTTCATTCATAATGGTGGAATTTAAAAGTTATTATACAGCCCCCACTTAGAAATGGTACTCTTTTTTTGGTTACGAAAGTCTTTCAAAAGGGTACAGTGTTCTGAATGAGTTTATGTTTCAGTCTCACATCAGATTCTGTCGCATGCAATGGTTGCCGACAAGGTTTTATGGTAGCCTGAGTGTGTATAGCCGCCCCCTCCCTTCAGAAAAAGTAGCCCCTTTGCAGCCCAGTTAAAAATCGCCTTTCGGCGATTCTTGTTCTTTTTAAAAGTCTGGGCGGCCATGTGATTTCGTTCCAAATAAAACCTTGAGTTGCATTTGGGTTGCTGTACCTGTTGATTGAGTTATTTTGCATTGGTATGCTTGTGGTGCAGACGGACGGTCGCTCGCTCGGTGTACGGTCACGTGACTACCAAATTTTCTCGGATGGGTAGATTACCACATTTCCTTAGCTATGGCGCTCCTCCCAAGCGCTGCGCTTCGCGCCGCGCGTGGAGCTCCGCTATTAGTAATTTACGAAAATTGTTTCTGTCTCTTTATAAGATATTCAGCCGGTCGATCGAAGGGCCGAAATCAGAGACATTTTCCTCAAACCACTGCACCGTTATTTCCTAAGGCTTGCGATCAAAAGAGAAAGTTTGAAAAAGTGATCATGAAAAAGGGAACGACACTACAGGATGACGTACATCGCATACACAGTATGTTAAAGGTCAATTATATTCAAGTTATATTCATCTGATTCTCAATTTTCTTCGTCTCCTAGCCCTGATTATGAATTAGGGATAGGAGACAAAGGAAATTGAGAATCAACCTAGGTTTAAAAATTTTAAGCTGAATTCAAATTTCGCCTTTAGTAAAACATATGCAACTACATATTCATCAGCTACGACCGTTTCAATATATACTGTGTTTTCAGCTTCTGCAAACCTCTGCTCGGGTATCTCCGGGAATCTTGATGTAACAGTGAGCGACAGGGTATGTGATGATGTTGAAAGGAACAACAATGGGATGATACCTCCTATATTCATCAGCCACTACTGCGCGAGAAAATTTCCATTCCACATCTGCGTTAGTCTAAAAAAAAAAACACACACAGTCACACAGCAAACAAGAAGGGTTCCCTGGAGTAGGCTTCTTCAATACCGTCGTTATCAGAAAAACATTCGCTAATTATAACAATAATAATAAAACCGATCAGCTTAAGCTATCGTAAATGGGTGCCCTAGGCAGCTAAAAAGTTAACAATTAAAGGAGAAAAAAACTATAGCAGATCGACTATCAGAAAAATGTAAAAACTATGTACAATGTCGATGGATAAAAACTAAGAATTATATAACTACGTTTATACTACTACATGAGAAATTCCTGCAATCTGATTGGCTTAGAGCAGTGGTATTTCAGCTTAATTTGAAATACCTACATGTGAAAATTACAAACCTTTTGCGGGTAGTAGTATAAACAAATAATAGCATGAGTTCTACGTGATATTTGGCATAAAAACCACTCGTGATATTTCAAAATTATCTCAAATTTCTTATTACGTATAACAATTTCGAAATATCACTCTGGGTATTTATGCCAAATATCACTACAAATCATGCTACTACCTATACAAATTAAGACTCTAAAAAATAAAAATAAACAAATATTTACAAGAACTCTAAATATAATATCATTAAGAAGTGCTTTAAAAATCACTATGGAGTCAGCTTCCTTCAGATGGCCGGGGTGGCAAGTTATTAAAAGCCTGTTAAGTTATTACGTACCCTACTTAACAAACCAAGTTGACTAGATATCTTGTTATTCATCCGCTAGTAACATGTTCCTTAAAAGACAGGGACTGGTCCCCATTCCCTAAGCCAGCGAAGGGAAAGGTGTATCTACCACAACTGTCTCGATTCAGGGTCGAGGAAAATATATAATTATATAAAATAAAGTGCGTTAAACGTTTTTTTCGATCGATGCTAGGAAAATAAATGTTTAATACAATAGTCTCACTCGAATCTCCCGGCCATCGAAGAATCGACAATTGTTGTGTTCTGTTTTCTCCTAATCCTATTATTAAATAAGCGAACCCCAGTAGTCTATCTTTTTGTCGAGGGTCGAGGGTACCATGTCGAGGGTCGAGGGTAACATTTAAAAAAAATTTTTTTTTTTGTAAAATGGAAAACAAATGGAAAACAAATAAGAAGAATTTAATAAACAAATAGCGCGTGGACATCTCCATCCATATTAGTTCTACTTGTTGGCTGGGGAGGGGGGGTGGGGGGGGGGGAACTGAACACGTTACTTGATAACAGGTTTCTCAATATGAGTGACTGCCTAAGAACGTCTTCTGCTCTGTTGACGAGCCACCATATAGTAAAAAATGTCGTGAAAAAGTTTAAAAAACTGATTTAACTGATATATTACTGTCAAAATGAGCTTGGCCACCTGTGGAAGCAGGAATTACAAAATAACAAATAAGGATATGCGGCTAAATTAGCAATAAAGGCTAGGCCCTAACCTAACCCTTCCAACTTTTCCCAGTTTTTGGCTAGGCGGCGGACCGACCCATCCTCATCATGAGATGGAGGCGATGAAAAACGAAACATATTATTATTATTATTTTATTGAAAGTTAGCATAATCGTCTGCTTCGATCTGATCGCTGTTCGCGAATAAAAGCTCCCCTTTTCGTGCAAAATAGGAAATAATCGCTGAAGCCGTTGTGACGAAAGTTTTTTGCACAGACACCTCTGATTTCTGTTTGAAATGCACACTAGGGATAAAGATGTGTACAAACTTAGTTTCGCCACATGACTTCCTATTATCCCACTGCCGCCAACAACTGCGCCGATAAGTGTTGGTTTTGCGTTCCTTTTTTGTTTCAGGGTGTTTCAAATTTTTGCAGTGATATACTTTTTAAGCTGCAGAACATTAACGTTGGTAATTGAAGGAGTTTATTATTGCGGCGCGACTCGGGCGATAGCATCAACCATCTACCGGTATTTACTAGGAGTAATCGGAGCTTAGGAGAGTGCGTTCGATATGTTTGCTGGGGCGGAAGGGTGGTTGCGATGTAGATAAATATGATTATGACATATTTTGAACTTAAGGGTTGCGTACAGCGAAACCCCTATTTAAACTGTGTATCATTTTAAGAACGTTTTCAAAAGATATCGTATGGTTCGGTGTCAAGTGCTTTTAATCGGAGGAGACACTGGCCAGCGTCGGACGTGTAAATGGAACATTTTGTTTTACTGACGCGAGTTACAGGGCGCATTTTCTCAAAGGCCGATTAGTCCTTAACCCGGGATTCTTTCTCTTCCTTCAAAAACATTTCTTCGAATAATTTTCTCTGTTATTTTTAACAGGATCCAATCGTCAACTTGTTGACAAAATGAATTACATTGAATTTACTGGTTTAAAAGCTTTCACATCTGAATTCGAACTTCGCACTAACCCTATCAAAGCCTTCAATGGAACGTGTGTGCGGCTCACGTCAATAACTTTTCCAGTAATTTGGTCGAGCGTGTTGATTTCAGTGACTCGAGAAAAGAGTGGCGCTACTGTGGGCTGATTTATAAGTTTTTCCTAATAAATAACATAGAGTTAAAGTGTTCGTTTGTCCGGTGCCAAAAATATCACAAGTCATGGTCAAATGGCGCCGCCGAGCTTCACATCTCGGTAGGTTTACTTTGTGGCACAACGGCTGCCGAGCTACACAACTCGTAAATTTACTTTGTGACAAAACGGCCGCCGAACTACACAACTCGGTAAATTTACTTTGTGGCATAACGGCCGCCAAACTAAACCCGGTTTGATGCATGCACCAGTAGTCGCAGACATTTTCCAAAGACAGTGACGAATGCTGAAAAATATGAAGGCTTAATCAAAAGTAAAATTTAACAGCAAACTCCTGAAAGATGAAAGTTTTGGACGATTCAGCAATCACAGATCGATGTACGCTTTACGAAGATTCAGCAAACTTTTTAAAAGATGAACGCTTTACGAAGAATATCAGACCTTAGCAAACCTTTGAAAGATGAACGCCGTGGACACAAGAATCACCACATGAGTTAGCGCGTCAAAGTGAGGCAAAACTTAAGCAAGCGCCTCAAAGTGAGGCAAATGTGTGTCGACGACGACGACGAACGAAAATGAAATCTCAAAAAAACCTCCCTTATTAATTGCACAGGTCACCCAATAATGCACAGAACACCCAACACAAATTAGGGTTGCGTTCTCGTACCTCGAACGCAAAAATTATCACTCTAGCTACGCGCCTACGTACCTACCACCGATTTCCGGTGTCGGTGATTGTCGATGACTTGTATTTTAAAATTTCATGGCGAGTTTCTACTTCATTGAAAGCACGACAATTCCGTCGCATACAGTGGGATAGCTTAAAAAAACAAGAATCGGTGAAATATCCAAATTCAAACTACCCCACTGAACAGCCAAGCAAGGCAGAGAAGACGTAGGGGCACCCAACGACGGTTTCCTCCTAAATGCATTGAAAACACTTTTTCGCTATCCAGAGTACTTTTAAATCTCTACAAATGCATTCTAAGCGGCGCTATAAAAGTTGTATCTGTTCGGTTGTCCTAGGGCAACTTGAATCTTTTCGAAATTGCTTAGGGCCTCAGTATTATCTTCCCGAAAATTTTAGATGCAATTTTAGGTTTTACGAAAGTGAGAATTTTTCTGATTCCTCTCGAGCTCTCCATCGCATTTTCGAATCCGAAAATTTTAGAATTTCCTTTTTTCTACGAAAAATAGGCTAACTTGGGGACTGAAATGCGAAAAACTAAACTTTAGAAAATCGCAGGGAATTTATTAGATAAGCTACGAAAGCTGTACATGAATGGAACGGCCATCTAGAAATTTTTAGCCTTCCTCAAGTAATAGAAAATTGTAGGGAATTTTTGCGTCTCCGAACAGATATTTTACAGAAAACAGTCGTTGGGTACCCCTGCCTAAGCTCTATGATATTTTTTTTAGGCACAACCTGTCTACCTTCACAGGAACTGAGAGAAGGTTATTTGCTTTTAAGCGAATTCGAATGTCCACGTACTATTTTAATTAAAGAACAATTTTCTTCATAAAAAATTTGAAAAAAAAAAATTACCCTCGACATGGAACCCTCCACCCTCGACAAAAAGATAGACTCAGGTCAGTGCAGAGAAAACTCCTGGGGAAACCGAGGCAGGAATATTACAAAATAATGGAGGTTACCTTCTGACTACATGGTCAAAAAGGCACAGCAAAATCATTTACCTCCACTTTATTATACGTGTTGGTGAGCAAAGCGACTAGCATGTTGATCAGCATAATGACAGATAAAATCAGAAACATTACATAGAGGACATCAACGATTGTACTTGACCAGGTGTCATGAGATTCCATTATCTCCAGATTTGTCAAGCCAAAGACGGACCATACAAGATGGGCAGCTGTTTTGAATAAGCTATGCAATAGAAAAAAGTAAAAAATTAGGTTCCAAGTTTGAGAGAACTCTCAAAGAGAACTTTATATATATACTTGTATTCTGGGTAGAACGTATTTCGTAGAGCGCTAAATTCATTTAATAGAAGTTGCCTGATGAGTGTTGTCCTACAATTTCGGATAAACAAAATCACTGCCGAAACCACAAAGTGGCTCTAAATGAAAAACCTACCGATTCTCCCCAATGATTCTTCATTCACAGTTCAATTTAGCATTTCAGTTTCGAAGACGAGGGCAATTTTGCTGTTTACGATAAAGATTATCGAAATGTTTGAACTCCACGCAAACATACGTACCAAGGATGTGATCCGCTGAATATCAAGCGACAATCCTGCTAAAATTTCTCATAATTATGCATAATTATGCGAATGTTTAGACAATCAAACAATCAAAATCACTACCCGGTTTTCGGGTAGTGATGACGTCACTGGACCGCATTAACCCCGCCAGACGTTGCTGAGAGGAGAAAACGACTCGAAGCGATCGGATGAAATTCAGAAATCAGAAATTTTGCTTCCATGGTAACTTGACGTCCCACTTGTCTTCTCTATACCCGACTCTTCAGCGTCCTGAGGACCTGAACATCATACACTAATAGACGTATTGCGGACAATGCTAAGTTAGTTTTTATGTATAGTAGCATTAAAAAGGAACATCAATTGTGATAAGGAATATTTTTTATTTTTTTAGGCGGACCAAAGGCGAGTGTATGGTAGGCTTAAATCTAGCCAGTTCCAGGGTCGGAGATAGCGAGAACACGAAAATAAAACGGGATCAAGTGCTCATACTTTCGCGTGTCTTTCACTTACACATTATCCCTACTATCTGAGAGCCTGGAACAGGCTAGCTTTAAACAAAAAGTAACGCCTGATCTGCAGGTTAGTGAATTGCGGAGGCCTAAAATTAAAAATAAGTATTGTGTATTATGACACTGTATCAAGCAGGTAAAGAACTTACCAAGATAATGACCCACTCGCACAAAAGCTAAAAGCATAAGATTTAGAAACTTAGTTAGGAAACTAAAATTAAATTTTTAAAAAGTAAATTATACATCTGTTAATTTTTTCCATTAAAAAATGAATCAGACGAAAGCCGCGAGGGATAAAGGAATAAAATAAAATAAACATGCGCTGGCCTTACTTTTTTACTTGGGTCCCGTTGCTTCTGTTGCTTTCCAGTTCTCGCGTTGGTGTCAAATAAGACATCTCGGCAGTGTAGATCATTGTGATGGCCGCAGAAAAAGCCATAATTACAAAAGCAAACTGTACCAATATGGTAATCAGGTCGACGATCATTTTGAACAACGCCAGCTGAAGTGGTCCAGCAGTTTTGTTTAGTTCCATTATGCTTGAAAACCTCAAGACTAGGAACAGAGTGTTGACACCGTAAAAAAAGTTAACCACCTCGAGTAGTCTGTTATGGTACTCAGCTCCACCTTTAATGACGGTTGCAACTCTGAGGACAAATATGAGGGTGTGACACGAAAGGGTAATGAGATCCACATAGTTCCACATATTTCTGAAAAGGAAAGTCAAGAGACTTAAGAATTAGGTTGCAAAGATCTACAAAGAACACGAATATCTACCATTTTATCATAAACAAAGTAGAAATTTGAACAACCAACAAATCATGGAACATTACAAAATGTCAAAGAACTACCTTCGTAAACAAATCAGTATAGAATCCAAATCATTACGTTGCACATATTTGTGTAATTCAAATAATGATGCTAATACAGGACTGGTCTTAATAGGCCATGAAACTGTTATATATCTATATTAATTGAATCATGTATCAAAATGAAACATTAGTGCTATTTGAGTTATGTTAATTGCTGAAGAAAGTTGTTGCAATTGCTGAATATTTGCACCTCCACTGTCCTTTACAAACCGGACATGTAGGCTCCCCTGGGTAGACAATTACAGTCAGAATTAGATTAACACTGGCAGTAATATAAGTCCGGTTCCAAGAGCTAACTTCTCTTGGGAAAGTGTGAAGAATTATAACTATTTGCTACTTTACGGAAGAGTTACCCGAGAAAGTAATTTGGATACAAATCTTATAATATGTACATCTTACCGCAAATAAACTCTGGACTTGGAAGTACGATACTGCTGAACCTCAGAGATTAATAGTCCGATGTAAAATACAAGAACTAGATATTCCTCGATTCGTGGCGACACAGAAGAGCTCAATATACATATTCTGAAGTGCAAAGCCATGAAAACAACTTGCTGTAGTTTGTCCTTTAAAAAGATGATGAATGGGGTTTTTGTGTAGTCCAGGTACATATCTGTAAGACAAACTTTTTGATTAGTTGAAACGATGAAAATGTTATGAGGATCGACATTATGCCTTGGCCAAAAAGATTTCCTTTTCCACATTTTTTATGCAGTTACACTACGTTCATGAATGAAGTTTAAATCAGGTAATAAAGGGAATATTTCCTCATCACGAGTCATACAAGCCTCCTGATCCTTGTACAAACCTCTAAGCGTTTTCTTCTTTCCTTTTCCCTGTACGACAGTTTCCCTACGTCGAGCTTCCTGATCCTTGTAGAACGCATAAGTGATTAGTGGCAGAAACACTGGAGTGAAAATGGTGTCGAGTATGGTAAATACATAGACAAGAACCCTGAATTTTTTCCCTGGACGACAGTGAAACGGCAAACCATAGTTCCACCTTTGGTTCAGCAGTCTGTACACCAGCGGATGAGATACAAACTAGGGAGGAATAAAGCCACGGGGAAAGGTATTTTTGGAAAGTTAAACATTCTACCATAAAATGATCACTTCCTTCAAATTTACATCTTAGACTCGATCGCCTCTCGCATCTTCAAACAACACGCTTCTACAGAACCCTTTTGTTCTCATCCCCTACTAAAATAGGCTGGTTTAAAACTTTTTACAAGTTCCATTTCATTTCCTTATCGTCGTCTCCCCACTCCCACGCTTTGGCTCGCAATTACAGGCGCGTAGGAGGGTGGGTTCGAGGGTTCGAACGAACCCCCTTTGCAGGCCAATGATGGATGACTAAAGACACTCAAAGTTTGTTTTCCCTACATAGTGACACATACCGGCTAAGTACACGAAATGTTTGCAAACATGCAAAACTCGACGTGTGCTGCAAAGTATCTCGGAGCAAAGGCTTAAGCCCCCCACAAGCCCCCCAGTTTCCCGGCTCTGCTGTCTTTGTACTGAAAGCAGCGTCAAACGTCAATTTGTATTAAACACCTAGGTCCCCCCAAAATCGTATTCCCCGCCTTTCGTCTTTCGAGACTCCATTTATCAAATACGGAACGTCTGTTAAGAAAAATATCTTCAATGTTGGAATTATTTTGTCTACATAATAATAGGATATAGTGCGGCCACATCATGGGCTACTTAATTATCAACTCCCAACAGGACTATTCCGCTTCGTTCATCCTTGGGTGGAGGCCTTCAAATAAGTTGACAGCTTCGTCCAGATCGATGGGCATATCGTACTTGATATGCATGATAGCTAGTGAGGGTCAGTAAGCTGCTCGGGTTAGTGCCGTCTGTAAGTCAGGAAAGCCAAAGCACTGCTCAGCAGCTAACTGACTTAGTAGATCAGTACAAAGATGATCTGCCTTCGCGACAGCTCTTCTTTGCCGAATTTGAGCGTTGGAAGATGAAGGTGCAAGCTAGGATAATTACGCCTGATTCATGCGCTGCGTCCTTGAGAGCACGTGATCTTTATGATTTCTCTAACCTGTACATTCTTCTCAAGATTGCGGCTACTCTTCCAGTGATATCGTGCAAGTGCGAGTGTTCAATTAGCACAATTTGAAGGCTAAACAATTACATGAGATGTACCATGGGCGAGAGTAGGCTTTCCTCACTGGCTATCATGCATATCAAGTACGAAGAGAGCGGAGCCGGGGAACTGGGGCGCTTAAGCTTTTGCTCCGAGATGCCTTGTAGCACATGTTGAGTTTTGTAAAACGTTTCATGTACTTAGCCGGTATATATATGTATCATCATGTATGCGTAGTTCCAAGTCAAACGGAAGTATATTTGTTATGGCTAAAAATACCAGTTATTTTAGACTTGATCGAGTTTGAAATATTCACGTGGAGACTACTGAAAATAGCATTTCCAGTACTCTAGATTTCAAAATTTTTTGGGGAAGTAATTGCCCCCCAAAACTCCTAGAGACTCGCGCCTTTGGCGCTCGTAGTATTCATCCGCTATTAAGAAATATTCGTATCAGTACGAACACCCCTTCTCAAACCCCAGCTACGCGCCTGAATTGGCCCTGTAGCTGACTCTTTGTCTTTACTTCGAATTCTCCAACAGTTTGCAATATTCTGGTAAGAGTTTACCCTGCTAGCAGAGTCGCTTCGATCTTTCCTAGATAAGTCGGGAAAGAGGAAGCGACTCTGCCGACATCTTCAAGTTCCTTCGATCTGCCGATCATCCAGCTTTTTGGATGAGTAAGACAATAGAGAATACTTCATGGAAAGTGCTGGCGTACGGTATTTACGCACGAGTTGTTGACGTATCAGAAATCGAACGAGTGAGCGCAGCGAACGAGTAAGATTTCTGATACAAAAACAACGAGTGCGTAAATATAGTAAAAACGTTTGTTAAAAACATAAATGACGGTGAGGATATGAGGTAATCCAAGAACTATAAGTAATCTTAGCTGTTTGTTCTCAATGCACAATTGAAAATGAGTGAATTTAAGTAAAATGGCCGGTTTGAATATAAGCTTAAGCTTAAATGAAATGCAAAGTGCTCCGACAAAAAGCACAACAAAAGCTTACGTCTCGTTCTGTTTATCCCTTTCCGCTGTTGTTTCGCCGGCTCTTTACCCTTTTCTTTATCGATAGCGAAACAAACGAAACTATTCCACTCCATTTCCGAAATGTTTTGCACTTTTTTAGCGAGAAAAACTCTTTGAGTAAAACTTTTCTCGTTGAATGTGTGCGAAGCGGCGCTGCAAGCTGCAATAAAAGGCGGGAATTTTGGCGCCAAACTTACACACCTCTGTGGCTTCTGATTGGACGTATCATTTTTCTCACACGTGAAAAAACAACGTTGGCGATTCTGATTGGACGTATCATTTTTTTCACGTGTGAAAACCATCGTTCGCTTCTCCGATTGGCTAGAACTAATTTGCGTACGAAAATTTACGACAAAGTAGCTTTTTGGTGAGTACTTCTCAGTATGTATATAATAAAGTTTTATACTGGATAAACCAGTTTTATCTGTGCACGCACGCATATTCTGGAATTTTGCTGACTCTTTCTGCGCGCACGCTCCATAGAAAAACAAATAGCTGCCGCTTCAATTTCATGCGGGAATTTTGAGAAAATTATAGATTGAACACTGTTGAGCGCTCAGTTTTAGAAAACTGGAAAACGTACCCAGGTTCGAGATGGATTTTGTACCATGTACTTAGCCGATTTTGCTGGGTGAACGGATTCACAATCCAGTAAGTGTTACGCGAAGTTTTTGGAAGAATAATCAAATGGGTTTTGAATAAAAATAATAATATTTAAGAAACAATATCTATGCTTATTCTTCTGTGTTTGCGATAACATCAATTCAAAATAAGATCATGAGGCTACAGAATCCATGTTGCATTTAAATGATCGATGCTTTTACAGCTGTTTGTGGATAACACCCGACTTGCGATGCCAAAAACGTCTTTGGATTTTGTGTTTTTCTACAACGTCAATCAAAATCTTAAGAAGCGGTGCTTTCTTCGCTTTCTCGCGTTTTATTCACCTTTGCGAACCTCTTAGGAAACAAATGTTGTCGTTCGTGATTTGTGATTGGTGGATTTCGATCCGTGTTGTGTGTTTCTGTGTTTGAAGGTTAGATGCTTTGTTTTTGAAAAGCATCGTAAGTTTTACCT